ATAACACTGATGGTAGCAATAATAACAATAAGAGAGTCTGCAAGGCAAACTCTTCCACTTGTCTTTTTGAGAAAGCATTTTATAAGTTCATTTCATGGGATCCAAATCACCCATTGGCCAAAATTTCTAGATAAATTCTGCTTCTATTTTACTATCGTTATTTGGTCTTGATTTCACTGTGCCTCGTTTTCAGTTTATCTCACATTTATGCTTACATTTTAACTGAGTCATTATAATATGCATAATATAACATTCCTGAAGACTCTTCTTGTGAACCTACTAGAACTTTCACAGTAAGCGCTATTACTTGCAAAAATAAGATCTGTGTTGAAATACTTTTTATATTCAAGTTTCTTCATGACAGCGTTAGGGTCCAGTTTCTGTAATATATGGAGTGTTTGGATTATACATGTCCAAAATTTTAGGCTGTTATTTCTTGTTTTGCCTCATGGTGAGAAGCTCCATCTTCATGAAGAAAATTGAATGTCATTGAATGACATGCTTTAAATCAAGATTTTCTTAACTTCCCACACAAATTCTATTTGAAGAACAGTCTTATTTTTAATAAAGTTCCTTGAGTTTTATGTGATGAGTTGGTAAGGGCTTCTGATACGGAACTAAAATTACCCCTGTGTAATGGAGGAATATATGAGAAATAGAAAATGTCAAGAATAACACAATTCTGGTCTTATAATTTTTCCCTTCTCTGCATCTGTGTACCCTTCATGTCCAGAGGGATGTTGCAGCATTCACAGTCCTCACGACATAAAGCAGTTATGCGCTACATTATGTGGTATGTAGTTGTTCCTGGTGCGCATAAGAGTGATGCTAAAGAAAATGGGTCAACATAAAAGTATTAAGAAGTAATTCTGGAGAGAATTAAATCAGTGTTGGGAAAGCAAGTCCACTTGTCTGCCACATAACTCTGCAACACAATGTGGCATTTTTCTTTTCTGGCTTGTAAAAAAAAAAAGAGAGAGAAAGAGAAAGAACAGAGCACATTCTGAGGCACTCAAAAAACAGATGAATATAAACATCTCTCAAATTTTGGGAAAATGCTACGTAGTCAATGTTCATGTAATTTCCTTACTTTGCAAAACATGACTTGGGGTAACAATGCATTTTTTTTAAGTAGCATATTGCTGTTAATTCCACAGTGGAAAAGGATTTTATTCTTGAACAATAATAATGTTATATTGAAAAATATGGCATTAATTTGGAATTCATTCCAGTAGAAGTGAGTGGTTTGAAGCCTTATCTGCTAAATAATACCATTTCTAGTAATGCTTAATTAATGTCAATTCTCCCTTATCAACTTGTTTTCATATGGTGCCAAAAAACTAAATGTGTATGGAAATAATTGCATTTTAATTCCTTACCTCCTTACCAGTACAAAGTGGACACACTGTAAGATGTAGTACTTTATTGTCAGCCTTAGGAGAATATCCCTACATTCCCCTGCAAAGCATTTTCAACATTAGAGAAACTGTACCATGCTATTCGCTGTCTCTAATCTTTGTATTTGTAGTGAAAGGAAGGAGGAGTGACAAGCTTATGTAGTTTATTTCTCCTCCTCTTGTGATCAGTTGTCTGGTTTTGTAAGGAGAATAGCGCTACAGTTGCCACAGTCGTATCTGGATACCTTCTCTTTTTTTTGGCTCAGGAAGCCACTGACTAACCTGAAAGCACTTCATTTCATTCTGTCTGTTCTAAAATACTCAGATTCTGTTCTAAAATAAGCAGATTACCCTATTCATTTTTCTTAGGATTTGTACTGTAGGTCAAAGCAATATATGTTTTTTCCTACATGTAATTTGCAATTTATTTTGGTAGAACTGAATTCCAAGAACTTCCTATATTATTTCATATCCAAAGACAATTTGCTATGACTGACAACTAAAGAATATCTCTCAAGAGATGGAAACTCCTAGTTCTGATTTAGAAATTGTAGGTTCAGGTGATGCAGAACTCCTGATTTATATGAACAAATAGCCAAAACACACTGTTTTTAAAAGAGTAAAATATAATTTAAATGATCTTTAATATTGGAGAAGCATTTAAATGAAACATCCTAGGGAAGGAAATGCAAGTTTGAAGCATGAAATTATTTTCAAGGGAAATAAATATTACAAAAAATCCTTTTAGTATTCCACATAAATAAGTGAGGCTCAGGCCTAATGATGACTGTATTCCCTGTGCATGGCTGAGAAGAGAATTTCAGCTTTACACTAGATGTATTTTCAAACCAAAGCTCTTTTTTCCTACAAGCCAAGACCCTTTGAATTATGTGTTTATCATACTGTAGTCTTTAGCTATAGCATAGTGTCTTATTTCTGTTCCCATTTTCTTCAAGCAGAATCAATAACTGCAGCTACATTTTCCTTTAGCTGAGTGAGCCAGACTGCCTCTGAAGTAGAAGTGCTTTCCCACTCATGAAGGGTGCATTGAGTAGTGTTCAGCATACAAAACAAGCCTCAGGCCAACTCCGATGCTGCAAAGTCACAGGAAGCTCCCTAGAAATACTTAAATTATGGTTCCAATATAAGGAAGGTAACTTTTTCAATGGACATGAGAACTTTAAGAGACAAGGCACCTTCTGCAGCACCTCAGTTCCTGAGGCCACACGGGGATTTAACACCAAATTAAAGGATAAGCCACAAGTTCTTCCTGAACCTCATTTCCTTGGAGACCGTATGCTGTTGCTGTCCTGCTCTGAGCAGAAGACTCTCACAAATAAGTGGCCAGTGGCCCTCAAAATCATTATTTCCATCTTATTTATTTATTGTGATAGCCAGCTCAGTTCTTTCAGATGTGATGGGTAAAGAGAAATACCCCAGATAAGGAAAAATCTAGAATCAGGTTCTTCTGATGGTGGTGATTCCAAGAGACTTTAGGCCAGAGAGAAGGAGCTGCACCCTGGGCTTGGGCTGGCTTTAGAGAAGGACATATTCCTGTGGGGATCTGTAGGGTCTGTGTTTTGCCCTGGGATACTGAACCCAGACAGATGAGGAGGGGGTAGCTTCAAAGACTTGGCTCTCCCTGAGGACAGCTATGCCAGCTAGCAATCCTGCTGGCCCCAGGAGATCTGCCATCTCCTTGGGGTGTTGAGGGATGGCCAGGCTAGATTGCAAGCACCCTGCAAAGATATCTCTCGGGGAAAGCTGAACCCAAATTCCCCATCTGCGGATATCTGAGATGTGGTTGTTTGCTGATAGTGGCCATACCTCAGCTCTGCTTTACTAAGCAACGAGTATATGCCTCTATTGGCCCACACTGCTGGTCTTCCTGGGAGTATGGGACTCTCCAGCTATTGAAGGTATAACGTCACATTTGGGTGCCCAAGTAGCAAGTCTTTCTCATCTTACAGAGGACTGTGCCATCGTAGGAAGCAAGGGTAGCTCTTCAGTGTCTTTGGACAGCCAGGTGGAGCGGATCAGCTAAAGAGCTGTGCTGCAAAAGATGTGTAGGAGGAGAAGCTAAATAAGCTTCAGTAAAACTGTCAAGAATCTGTACTATTGTACATTACTACAGCAGCAACATAGAAACTAAAGCAGCTGTCTTTCTATTAATGCTCAGAGTGAGGGATTTAAACGCATTTGCAAAATTGCTGTTTGAGTTCCATGTTTTTACTAAAGCCAAATTGTCTCAATCTAGCCCCTTAGCAGTGCAAAAATCCCCAAAGCAGCACTCCTTGTAAGATCATTCAATTGCTTTTATCTGCTGTGATTTTGCAGTACATATACTTGAAAGGCTGCTTAGGCAGTGAAGAATTGCCAAGGGATAACTGAACCACAAAGGCTGTAGTAATAACAGAGGACAAAGCTGGAGCTATAATTCCAAGATTTCCTTGTTGGGTGGGAATGTAAGCAAATTTTAATACTCCATTAGCATAGTCCCTATCTAATTTTGTTTTCACCACACCTTATTGCTGAGAGCATTCTTTTGTGTTTTGCTCAGTAGGAAACTGCTGAGAGTATGTTGTTAAATATCAGGAAATAGAAACAACTTACAGAAAGACCACTTCTGCTATGCCACCACCACAAAGGGACTTTTATTCATGCTGCCTAATACAACAGTGCTCGGTTAGACGCCTGGTCAAGTAGTTGAACACATTGAATATGGAACATTTTCCTGACAGTGTGGCTGACAGACCTATACTTTACAAAATATTTAACACTACTGTATTAGAAGTGCATTTTAAGCTTTGGGAGTGGTACTTTTGCCACAGTTTTTTATACACATTCATTGCAGTCCAAAGAAGCTGCAGAGGCAGTAGTTGGATTGGTATCTGTTCAGTTCTGTAAAAGTATATCCATACGTATGTATAAAATTGAGAAAGCAAATTCTATAATCATGAAAACGTGTACCTCAGTAAACCACATGGATTTTCTTTGTGTGTAAACAAGACAAAAACTAATAATGTGCAACTACAAAATATTTAACCAACTCTTTATTAAACATGGATGGCTTATTTAAGATGCAGAACATTGTATTCCATTCCATTCTTGTATTCCAGAGGCCACAAAATTGTACATGGCCAGTACAACAAGGTTTTGTGTTTCAAACACAAAGAATCCACAGATTCTGCTGCATTACATCCAGTCTTAGCTAAGATCTGAAAGCTGGCCATTTGGGCACATTTCGAGTAATGACCAGACCACAGCTAAACTAGGCTCAGGAGGAATCCCAGAATTTTCCCAGTTTCCCAATGTCTTCTATTGTCTGAGAATAGAGAATACCCCAATTCTTTATTGCTTCAGATCAGTACACATAGAAACTTTTGTATGTTAGGTGACAAAATGCACCAAAGGACATCAACATTCACTAAGGAAAAAAAAAAGTTAGGAATAGAATAAGGAATATGTTCAAGCAAGAGAAGGAGCTATAATGTTCATTGTGAATTCTGTGCCTTTTCTATGCCTGTCATTGTGCTTCATTGTTGTTACCCTTAATGATGAGGGTATATTTAACATATTTAACAGCTTTTGATTCATTTTTAGACATGAACTTCTGGAAGAAGCTCGGAGAAAGGGTTTGCCCTTTGCCCAGTGGGATGGGCCTACGGTGGTCGCCTGGCTGGAAGTAAGCACTTCTCACACTGGTGGGCCACTTCTTTACCTAGATATCATTCCAAACAGAAGGAATTGTTTATTATTCACTTTCACCTGAAATGTGGGAGATGCAGATTGAAATCCTTATGACAGGCACTTCCTTCATCTCCACCATCAGTTGAGGTGCTGAGGGCTATCCTTTATTTCGAGGGTGTATATGAATGGAATTTGGAATACATCCAGAGAAAATTCTTCAGCAGAAGTCTCTACCAATTTTGACAAAAATCAATTTTAGTTTTAGGTGAAAGAACTACTTGAAAAACACCTACCCAGACCTTGGGGGAACATGAAGGCAGAATGTCAGGATGTTCTCATACATTATAGACAATCACTTCTACGTGGCGCCAGCTCTGTGCAGAGACAAGCTCTTTGTTGGCTAAAGCTGTAGCATCTGTTCTTTGTCTGCACTGAGTGTCTCCATGTATTCCTAACTATTCTCATGTCTGATCATCAGAAATAATCTGCAGAACTTTTCCCTGCAACTAGAAAAAATAGCCCCACTTCAAGGCTTTGACAGAAGCATGTTCAGGGAATAAATAAGGAGTGAGGAATGAAAGAAGCTGACATCTACAAAACTTCTACTTCACATTTTATTTGAAGGTTCCTAATGAAAAAGGATGAAATGAAAACCGCAGAAAGGCTGTTCAAGCATTCAGACATAACCTTGGAAAATGGGATGATATCTTTCTTCCAGAAAAACAAACTGCTATCAAGGAACATTTGTTAATTTGGCTGGCAAATGACTTTTCTGGGAAGTATGACAGTTGTGTAGCCAGATTTGTATCAGTCAGAAATATTCACTATTACAGTGACAACTGTAATACTACAATTACTGGCAAGGTGCACAGCAAAGGTCTAAGCATTTCCAAGTACTGAAAACAGTTTGTCCCTTAAAATCCTCCACTGTGATGTAAAATGTGGGGATATTTCTGGCAATTTAAGTTCTGATTATTTTTTTTTTAATTTTTTGCCTTGATTCTTAGCTGTGAAAGTGATGCTTCCCAGTGCCTCAGAGAGATGTTTTAAAGAAAAATTGATGTCTCTGAATTTCTGGGGAAACGTAATGAGAGTAGCACAGGAAAGCTCATGCAAAAGGTTATGTTGCAGTATCCAGTGCAAACTGTGTCCTGATGATAAAAATATATGAGGCAGAAGTGTTGGATTTATTCAGTGAGCATCAGTGCATTCAGCCATCAGATAGACACTGTGTGCATTCCATACTCTCCTGGGGAAAATGTAATGTGTGACCCTGGGAATACAAACTGAAATTAATATTAAAGGAGCCAAAGGGCCAATTTGAAGTAGTGGATGTGATTGCAGTTGTGATATGTCCAAACTTTTCAGGGCTCAACTTCTCAGCATTAGCATTTATCCTGGTCATTTGTAGGTAGCACAGACATAGCTGAGATATATTTTAAGAACTGTGACTTTTCTTAACTAAAGAAAAGTGTATCAGTCTTGAACTGTGGATTCACTGCCTATGTGTGAATTCTATACTGTAAATGTATCCTATTTTTAGGGACTGTTCTCATCCACCTTCATTTTCTGATAGGGACAGCTGTTTGTTAAAGAACTAGTTTACCTAATGAGCAGCAAACACATGAATCTGTTTCTGCAGAGTGAATAACTCCCAGTGTTCATACATTTCTGCTTTTCAAGCGCAAATATGAAAAAGAAATAATTAAATGGAAGTCAAATTAAATGGAAGTATTAAATATATTTTAAGTCTATATGTAGTTTCCACATGGGTCTTTGTTTAAGTGCAACTGTATATCACAGAATCACAGAATGTCAGGGATTGAAAGGGACCTCAAAAGATCATCTAGTCCAATCCCTCTGCCGGAGCAGGAACATCTACTAGTCACACAGGAATCTATGTAAATCTTGTTTTCATTTTTTATTTTCAAGAAGCTTTTTATGTCATTGCAACTAAACTGAGATTAGATCATATTTTCCAGGTTCAGACTAGAATATTCACTATTTTGCTGCACAGCAGAAATCTCACATTACACTTTGTGCTTCCCAGTGCCAGTGGCAAGAACTACGTTCTAAAAAAATCCAAAATGTCACCTAGAGTTAAGTACCTACATAAGTTGTTCTTTGTTTTCCATTGCGCTATCCTCAGAATCTCAGTGGTTATGGCATTTGCTGCCTACATGTGCTTTTCACACTTTATAGTATAATGTATTTCACGCCATGACAAAAACTTCCAATGTGTATGTAGCCCTACTATGGAATTACCTCTTTTGGGAGCAAAGATGTGTAGACACTGATAGTCATATCAAGCTCAGAAGACATGGCAGAATTAGTACTGAGTACGTTCCAAGAGTGCTAGAGATGGAAAGCACCTCTAAGAAGAAAGGACCAGGATGCTGTGCCACTTTGAAACACAGGGCTGCTGCTGACCTAGGCTAATAAGTCTCCTAAGTAGAGAAACCTGAAGTGGCAGTTACTTATCTTCTGAATCCATGGTGATGTAGTTGTGCTCACATCTCACTGTAACTTCTAACCAGTCTTTCCAATCAGGTTACTACCACACCAGCTTGTTCCTAGATTTGCAGTATGCGCAGCTCTCACTAGGTTGGTTATCTGTACTGTGCTTATTTCTATAAAGAAAATACAAGTGGCAAATGATAAAAGTGCCCCATAAGTATACCATAGGGACTAACATGGAAAGAGAATGAAAACCAGATTAGGACAAAATGGTAAAAATAACTTAAATGATTCCTATTTGTTTCTTTTCTGTGCATGATAAGACTATAAAACCACCAGTGATGCTGACTCGTGCCACAATTTGCTTGAGAGCACAGGAATGCAGTAGCCCAGATGATGAAGCTCTAAAAAATAATCCAAAGGATTCCTTTGCTTTAAATGTCTGGCTACAATAGAAGCAATAAAGAGTTCCTGTGAAGTCATGGCAATTTCAGTGCTTTTGAAACAATTTCATTTTAATAAAGGCTATGATAATTATATTCATTTGTGTGAATTACTAATCTTATTCAGGTTGATAGGTGCCTCAGTGATTAATTTCATCTGAAAAATGAAGTGGTGCTTGGAACAAATGTGTGCTTTGTCTCAACAGCTCTGGCTGGGAATGCCAGCTTGGTATGTGGCCGCCTGCCGTGCCAATGTGAAGAGTGGAGCCATCATGTCTGCTTTATCTGACACCGAGATTCAAAGAGAAATTGGAATCAGCAATCCTCTTCATCGCCTAAAACTCCGATTAGCAATCCAGGAGATGGTATCACTCACAAGCCCATCGGCACCTCCAACATCTAGAACAGTGAGTTCTGTTCAGATAACTTCTTTCCCACTTCATTCTGCAGGAGATTGCAGAAAGGCTTTGGTAGTAGCAGAGTGACTCTGATAACCCACGATTCCCACTCAATATGAACAGTCTTATGGAGAAGCATTTGTTCATCATTCACTTGATTATTGATCACTGATATATTTACCTTATTTGTAATTTTACTTGTAGGTGTGCCCTTCTGTTCCTTCAGGTGAACTATCCCAGCTAAATCAGATTGTCTTTTTTTGTTGTTTACCTTTTTTATCATTTGTGGAGTTTTGTAATGCAGGAGGGAGAAGGGGTTGTTTAGGAATATAGCTCTTCTGAATCTTGGTCCCTTTCCCCTTTTTGTACCCTTTCTAATGATTTACGATCTGATTTGGCTGCTTGAAGGTACCTCATGCTTTTAGGAGAAGCAGTGATTAGAGGCGTAGAAGGCAGAAGTGGAACACATGGGAAGGAAAGAAGTAGAGATAAAATAAGTCTGAAAGGAAAGAGGGGAATATATTAAAAAGAGCCTGAAAGTGCATTGGGGGAGAGCAAAAATGTTTGTGCTGTAGATAAAAGACATTTTTTAAAATGGAAAATGGAGAAAAACAGGCCAAATGGATGAGGAGAAAAAGAAAGAAGGTAACGAGAGGGGAGTTACATGCTGAAAGGCTGATGGTGATGGCTATGAAGAAGGCAACAGAGACTGAAACAACAAAAAAATTCCTGAACAAGTTAAAAAGTAAGGTTTGATTGGATGGGAAACATGGCATAGAAGTGAAAGACAAAGACTACTGCTTACATAGTGCGGCCTGGACTTCTAATGATATTAATAATGTTAATAATTGTCTTTTGTAATTTCTAATTTTCATGGAATTCATGAAGCATCTTTTGGTAGAAATTAGAATTGAGATACCTTGGAGGGATTCAGCAATTTATCCAGAACCATTGAGTTGAGATATGGGACAAAAGGATCCAAATGTTCCCATTGGTTGGCCTTTCACCTTTGCACTGCTAAGAGGCTTTCAAAAATTATAATTCCCCGTCTGATACTTCCTCCCCACAGAAACTTAACCATGGTATTGTCACAAATTATAATGTGAGTATATATTACAGACACAATACAGTGTTGAATTACTAAAAATACATTTCCTATCAAAATCCATTTTGGATATTTTTGATTTCAAAGCACAAGACGATTGTCACTTAGGAAAAAAGAAAACAACACATTCAAGCTAGTAGCTTGGGAATAATTTGCTCTTGACTTCTCCTTATGTAACTGACAGGAAAATGCTGCACTGCCCTCAACTGCGCATTTCTGAATCCCAAATCTTTCTGCTTCCCCTCTTCCTCAGGAAAGGAGTTAATTTACTGCAGCCCCCAAAAAAGCACAGTACATTCCACCTTGTGTGCACAGCAGGCTTCCCACCCATTTCCTGCATCATCTCATTGTCCTTGCAAGAATCTAAATGAAAACAGGTCAAAGAGGAAAACAGCAGTCTTACAAGCGTATTCTCTTGACATTTTTGTTTTGGAAATGTGGGGGAAGTAATCATTATTTAGATTACAATATGAGCTTGTGATGTGTGCAGAATATTTAGTCTGCAAAGTCTTTTAGAAATGAAGCTTACCTACAGATAAATCCATGACCTAAAGGTTGTATTTGCTACTTGCGTGTGAAATGCAGCTTTAATTCTTCTTTCCTTTGCGGCTGTGCTCATCCATCAGTGCTAGCTGAAACATTCCATCACATCTGTTCGGACTCCTCTAACAAAGAAACAAACCAAATTGTCTCAAGTTGTCTCTAACTGCCGCTCGGTAGAGGCAAGATGATGGTTGTGCTGATGGTGATGCTATACGCTGTTAACTTACAGTGGTGCTGCCTTTCTTCTTTACCACTGCTTACCTAATGTGGATCCCTCCTGCCTCCCTGCGGGCCCTGCTCGTAGCCCTCAGGCAATGTTTGGGTGACCCATGAAGAAATGGAAAATCTTGCTGCTCCAGCTAAAACGGTTAGTCCTTCCCTTTGCATGTAAGCATTACCACAGTGCTCAAAGCAGCTTCTGCAGGCTGCTTCCAAGCATGCCAGTAGAAAGAGCAATTCTGTTGTTTCTCAGCAAAAGAAATTTCAAACGGTGTTGTAATCACAAAGATTGTGCAAGCCTAAAAGTTGAAGTTCTACATTGTTTTTTTTCTCTGACAACTTGAAACTTCACTCAATGAAATAATGAAATAGCTGAATATTGTTGGTAAAAATAAACTTAGTGACACTCAATTGACCAGAGGAAGATTTCATCCTGTTTGAGTGGTCAACCAGAACAATGTATTTTTGCCATAAAATTGCTGTGTGAAAAGCGCTGTTCAGTCTATTCATAAGAACACGGATTTTATTGTGAACATTACAAGATCTAACTAGAAACAAATAATTGCATTTTTAACACCCAGTTTTGGAGAGGAAATGACTGTATTTTGATCATGAATCATAGAAAGTATTTGAGATAATGCTGTAGAGTTTCACTAAACTGTAAAGATTTTGTATCTTGAACACAGGTAGATTTGCCCTGCTAAAATTTTATGGCTATAATCTTCGTAAATCCTTCTGGTAGCTCATCCCAAGGCATTGAAAGTAACTTGAGTTTAGAAATTTTAACAGTACATTTTACAGATATGTTTTCAATCATAGTAAGATTGCCATTTGCATGAAAGCCACATCTGCTTTTTAACTCATTTTTATTGTCTTTTTACCTGCTTTACTAATTGCTTCCTGTTGATAACACAGAAAGAGTCTGAAGAAGGCAGCTGGGCCCAGGTATGACCTTTTTGCATGATTTTTTTTGAATGTAGGGTTAACAATAATGTAATTAACACATTATCAATAGTCAAAGAGAATGGTATTGTGACAGTATCTCAAAGACTGAATTGTAATTTGCACATGCTATAATTCTTCATTAAAAAAAAAAAAAAAAAAAATTCTTCTTCAGACAGGTTTGCTAGGGAATGCACAAACAGATGCATATGTAAATATTTTTCTTAAAAGGAAATGCTGTGAGGTATACAAAACAGTGATTTGATGGGCTTCAACACAGTCCTTTATTTTACATGCCCATTACTAATATGATTTGTTAATATCCCAAGGATGATAAAGAATTAAAGCATTCAAATAAGTAGCAGCAAGTTATGAATGCTGATAGTTTGATAGCCCAAAATATCCTATGGAATTTGGACATTTGGGATACCTCAAATGCTAGCAGAAAGCATTTACCGATCATTTCAATGGAGTAGGCTGTGTCCTTGCATTCAGCTTGGAGGATTTTTGTTCTCTGAATATAGAATCATAGAATATAGAATCACTGAATCATAGAATCACTGAATGGTTTGAGTGGGAAGGGATCTTTAAGATCACCAAGTTCCAACCCCCCACAGTAGGAAGGGACACCTCCTTCTGGACCAGGTTGCTCCTGGCCTTGAATGCTTCCAGGGAAGAGCATCCACAGCCTCACTGGGCAACCTGTTCCAGTGTCTCACCACTCTCACGGTAAAGAATTTCTTCCTGCCATCTACTCTAAATCTACTCTCTTCCAGTTTAAAACCACTTCCCCTTGTCCTGTAGCTCCGTGCCCTTATAAAAAGTTTGAAAAATTTATCTGTTTTGCATCTTAATTATGCAAACCATATAAAAAATAGTACCACATGCAGGTATTTGTTTCAGATACTTTTTCCTCACCCTCTTGAAATCTTAGCTGCACAACGTAGTAGCTTCATGTCTCATCTCTATGAGAAATCTGGCTTGCTCACATTTTAAAAGTTGAGCTTACGAGGCACTTATGTTTAAGATGGTGACAGCTGAAAATATCGTATTTTGTCACCTGCTGAAGACCACTCATGTAAGCTTGGCTGACAAATGAAATTAACATTTAGTCTCAGGAGTAATCATGAATTGCAGAAATGAGAAAAGCCATTAGCTCCTACTGGGGAAATCATACCCTCCTCCCTCCCCTGACACAGAGCGACTCAACTGCAGTTGGTTCCTTGCAGCCATGTTTGTGTTACCAAGCATTATGCAGCATCTGCCTAGCATATGTATTCCAGAAGTTGAATGGACAGCCTATAAGACCCTGAAGCAAACACATTTTGACTGTGTGATGTACTGGCATGCATTTAAAAGACAAAATGGAAACTATTACTTTGTGTTCTAACAGTTGTTTACATTTTGCACAGATAGCAAACAAGACTAAAAATGCTAAGTATTGCTACTGGTAACAGAGTAGCTGACAACTCCGAATTATGAAATGTCAAAATAATGAAAACAGTGCATGTTTTTCCTTTAGACTGATTTTCTAAGCTAAGAAGTCTTGCTAGAACCAAACATAGTATGTCAATATAGTCTTCAGTCTGTGGTGCAACCCAGAACAAACTTATGGAAATAACATCCCCCCCCCTCCCCCCCCCCCCCCCCTTTTCTTTTTTACTGATTTTTCTTTAGACACTGGCCTATGGTGACATGAACCACGAGTGGATAGGTAATGAATGGCTGCCCAGCCTGGGCTTACCTCAGTACCGCAGTTACTTCATGGAGTGCCTGGTCGATGCGAGGATGTTGGATCATCTGACGAAGAAAGATCTGCGTGTGCACTTGAAAATGGTGGACAGCTTCCATCGGTATGTCTGCACATGCAAGGCCTCTCGTGTCAGATGCAGCACTCAGTGCTGCTCAGAGCAACAGTGCTTGCTATTTGTAGTTCTGGCCTGGAAAACCTCATGGAGGAGTTTGTGCATGAGCAGAGAGACTGACTCCTTCAGTAAGAGCAACTGCATCACAATGCTGTCTCATAACTGAGATACTGGTACAGATAATTTCATAATAAGCAGGGAACCATTAATGTATAAACAAAGCCATTAATAACAGAAAAACAAATAGTTAATCTATTAAATGGCCTTAAATTATCAGAAGATGTTGAACTAAGATTGGGAGTCCTGAGTCTTTGTAATAATGAAAAGCTATTGTGTGCAGCACATAAAATCTGCTCACAGAGCAAGCACATTGGCAGTTACTTGGGTTATCTAGGGACATAGTCAGGAAGCTAAATTGGAAATATGGAAATAAAGGCTTTTGACTTCAGGAGAAATGATGTCTATGTGGCAAGAAATGGATTTTGTTAAATTTGCTATCTGACACTTCTTTTTGAGGAGTGATTTGACAAAACACTTAATTGGTCTCCCAAGGCCTGGCCTTTTCTTAATGTTTCAGGTTACTTATCCTATAACATGTATTCAAACATGTTCATTTTGGTTTGTCCATTTCAATTTTTAAAGTCTGTTTAGTTTTTTTTAATGATTTTTCTCTCCTTTTTTTTCTCAAGACCTGTTACATGGGCCCCATGAAACAGCTCATGTGACATGCAGGAAATACATCCTAAATATGTTCCCATCTTCACATTTTTCTTTATTAACTCTGTAAATGTTTCTCTTTAAATAACAGAACAAGCTTGCAATATGGAATCATGTGTTTAAAGAGATTGAATTATGATAGAAAAGAACTGGAAAAGCGAAGAGAAATGAGTCAGCATGAAATAAAAGGTGATAGTTCTGGGAATGAATACTGGGAATGTTTCTTTTGAAGCTTCACACTATTAACCCCCTTGTCATGCCACTTAGCAAAGCATTTAAGCGTGTGCTTTAAATAAACCTTGCACAAATCCAGCTGTTGGCAGAACACAGAACCTCTCCCTAAATTAGTCACAGTAATACTTTGCTAAATTGGGGCTGCAGTTCTGAACAGTGGTTTGATGTCCACCTTTTGCTAAATGGGATGCTGGGCACGGATCCTATCCATCTTTAAGTCTCAGAAGCAGAAGGCCAAACAGCCTCAGGTCAGTGAGAGGTGTCGGGTAGCTCTGGGACACCTAACCCTGAGCACTTGGACAAATCTTTGCATTTGATGTCCCAGTTCGCAGCACGAACTGCAAAGAGATTGCTGGGGGGGAAGGCCACCAAGGCAGTTGTTTGAAAAATATGCATATATACAGGAGCAGTTCCTAACAGAACCAACCTCATTAGGGGATTTAGCAGCTGATTTAGAAGTATTTTTCTGCACAAAGCTCCCTGGAGCAGTTGCAGCCTCACTGCACAGCTCTCTTTTTTGTGGGTAGCAATTAGGGTTGTTGCTCCCCCCTGCCTCCATGCTGAAAGTGAATCCTTTGATTCCTCAAGCATTGCCAGCTCTGAGAGTGACAGCAGTTTGTGCCTTTCAAATGCAGTGCTTGTTGGAAGAACTGAAAGAAAAAGGTGTGTGGGGGAATTCAGAAGGGTAAAAATCTTTGGAGAGGGCAGGTGATGGCATGCACTGAGCCAAAGACTTGGAACTGGAGGCATCAGGTCTGCCTGAGTGGCTGTGGCTGGACTCTCATATGGGGTTTTGGCTTTTGGTCTGGGATCTCAGAGTTGCTCCAGCAGACCTGAGAGCAGGGTGACCACCAACACATCACCCTTCAAACTGCTGACACAACCAGGCAGGGGTTGGGCTCAGCGATGCCAGGCTGCGGTTGGACCCATCCTGACACCAAAGTTTGGAATGTGATGGAGAACACTGCTCCTGGGAAAAGCTCTGCTGTTCTGTGGCTTCAGGAAGACCCTTCACCACAACGCAAAGTGCAGCACAGTATTTCCCACCCACAGGTACAAAGAGCAGTGGGAGTAACTTTCTTTTAATGTAATGGACAGGGCAGGGTACTTTTTTTTACAAGAGCAAAATCCTCTTAAACGGTTTCCCAGCTCGTTTTGTTGCCTTAGCCTTCTAATTTCCGTGGACTTGGACAGCAAAACCAGCTTTCAGAACTAATAATAATTCCAGTCTCCAACACTGTGAACTTTCCACCAGATTCTGCAGGTGCAGGCACAGCCCACAAATGTCTGATACAAAATGCTCAAGTGAAGCCTCAAAGAATGGGTATTTGTGCTGCATGACAAAGCTGTAAAATCTTGCTTAAGAACTGGAAAGGGTTTGGAGGGTGCCCATTACACCTGCCACGCTTTCTCAAGCCTGCTTGCTTTAATTTCATCTGTCTCAAAGTGAGGTGATCAATCAGTGAGCTAGAGGCTCCTTTAGAGCTGATAAATGGACGATGGATCTCTAGAAGAGGTGAAAGGAACAATGTTCTGGAGATGCCCTCTGGAGGCACATGGGAAACAATTTTCTTTAGAAAGCATTCAGAACAACCATTTAACAACCATGTAAGGGGAAGGCAGCTAAAACTGCAAAGCTGTTCCCACACACCTTGGGTTTCCACTGGGAGTCACTGAAGCCATTAGAGCTGTGCTAATAGTTTACTGATGTTCCCCATGCAGAAATTAAACCACTTTGAATGCATGCAGCTGTACAGTTTGGAAGATACTAGTTACCAGGCCCTGACCCACTGTCATGTTCTTACAGATGTGCTGGTGTGGAGCAATGACCGCGTCATCCGCTGGATCCAAGCGATCGGCCTACGGGAATACGCAAACAATATTCTAGAAAGCGGTGTGCATGGTTCCCTTATAGCACTGGATGAGAACTTTGATTACAGCAGTTTAGCTTTACTATTACAGATTCCAACGCAAAACACCCAGGCAAGTCTGCTCACACTACTTCTGGTTAATCTGTACCCGTGATTGCCACTGATTCCTCTTCAACCATTTTAATTGTTGACTTTGGTATCTCTAGGCACGGCAGATCCTTGAGAGAGAATACAACAACCTTTTAGCACTAGGAACTGAAAGACGACTTGAGGAAGTAATTAATTTTATTTTCAGTATTTATAAACTATCACAGTAAAACATAAAAGTTGAATGCAATGCATGAAGATATGTTAATCCACCCATGGTTCAAAAGAGATGTTGCAGGTGTTTAAAAAAAAAATAAATTAGGAAACCAAGGTTTTTAAAGTGGCCTCCATATGGCTACATATCCATCCATCCATCCTTAGCACATGGGACACTAATGTGTGCTCTGCACTCTTAAGATGAATGCTTTCCATAGAGGAAAAACATAGAAAGGTGCATGGGAAGATGAGGGTAGATGGGGCAATGGGGAAAGGCCTGAAAGGTCTGTGCGACCTGTTCTTTGGGCCACTTCAAACTTTTATTCGAAGACAAAACAGAGGACAGGAAAAAGTGCATTTCTGGCAGTTATTTTTTTTTAAGACAATCAATGTGTCCCACAGTGAGAGTGAGGAAAGTTACCTAGGAATCTCAAATACAGCTATGGAAAACATTCATCTCAAGGTCAGACTCTGGTGCAGAAATGTTCAAGGAGCAATAAACACTTTAAGGGCTTGACAAAAATGTGTGATACCTACCAATTCTGTGCATGTTTAATTCCATGCTAGAGCTTTACTTAAGCCTCCAACTGCAGTAACAAACCACTGCAACAAATATCATAACAAACCACTATATTTATAAGAGACCTTACTTCTAAGAAGCTATCCTCCAGCATGTCAAGTCACCAACTTAAGCTTTTCACCCTAGTGTTTAGTATTAATTTCTTAAAGCATTTACTTTTGTAAGAGCATCTCAAAAGCACTGGACACAGTGCAGCAAAGTAGGGCACTTGTTGCAAACCAGACCTGTCGGTGGGTGAGGCAACAGCCAGGTGATCAATGGCAGATTTCCCTTGGCTTTATCCGACACAACTCTGTGTCTCGACAGAGCGACGACAAGAACTTCAGGCGCGGCCCCTCCTGGCGACGACAGTTTCCCCCCCGTGAGGTCCATGGCATCAGCATGATGCCCGGCTCCTCTGAAACGCTGCCGGCCGGCTTCAGGTTGACCACGACCTCAGGGCAGTCCCGGAAAATGGCAACTGACGGTATGAAGTCATTTCTGCACTTACAGAAAGCAGGAGGCTTCCCCTAGCATGGTAACCTGACTTCAGTGCACAACTGTCCTGTCACAAACAGCCAGGTTCACCTACTAGCACAGGATGGATGAATGGAGTCCGGGACAGGGGAAGGAGAGAATGGCAGAGCACTGACTTGGCATGTTAGTGATGTTTCTCATGTTTATGTAAGACTGTTCATTGAAAGTAAATATAGAACTGGCCATCCTGAGCGCCAAAGAAACATTCAGAAAGAGGTATTTATTCGCTGATGTTCAATCTGAGAGTACATACAAGATCTAAACAACTTTTTCAGCTGACAAACCTCTCCATTTGGCACAGTTTATTTCAGAGGATGAGCTTAGGATAGTGATAAGAACAAGGAGGAATGGTTTTAAACTGAGGATGTTTAGGTTAGATATTGGGAGGAAGTTTTTCACACAGAGGGTGGTGATGCTCTGGAACAGGTTGCCCAAGGAGGCTGTGGATGCCCCATCCCTGGAGGCATTCAAGGCCAGGCTGGATGTGGCTCTGGGCAGCCTGGTCTGGTGATTGGCGACTCTGCACGTAGCAGGGGGTTGAAAACAGATGATCATGGTGGTCCTTTTCAACCCAAGCCATTCTATGATTGTATGGTTCTATGATTTAGATGCTCTTTTAGGAAAGTAAAGATAACAGCTCCCTATCTGACAATCAAAGAAGTCAAGTTTATAAATTGTTGTAAGAAGGCAGGGAGAAAAGGGAATTCCATTGAGGCTCTTCCATTAGATATGTGAACAATAAAAGCCACTCGAGTGCACCTGTCTGAAGCTTTGAGAAGTAATGTCCCATTTCTAACAAAGCTCTTTACTTCCTCATGAGAGAATTTAGGTCTACAAACAGGTTTGTCTTACAGTAATGTAATACACTGTGGTGATTACATTTTGTAATTCTTTAATGAATTTGGTATGAAAGTTCAAACATCTAAATTCCATTAAAGTTTCTCACCCTCTAAGAATATTTCTTTATAACTGCAGTTACAGATGGAATAATTTACTGATTGCATCACTGTATTCATTGATTTCACTGCTCATGCGCACGCTTTGCTTTTAATCCTGCACTTCTTGGTAATGTTGAAGCTGTACAACAAAAATCCATTCCAAGGCAAACTCCATGCACACAGAAAGGTGCAAACTCCCAGGGCACTTCCACTTTCTGTAGCAGACAAGGCCCTTATAAGCATTCATAGACTTTGTCTTTTAGCCTCGCTATGAAGCAGAAGACACTATCTGCATTTTATAGATGGGGCACTGTGGCATAGGGGAAATTCAGGTGATTCCCCTGATTTAACTCTGGTCTTCCAGATTGTTTATTACTGAGCTGGATACAGAATCTAGTACATCTAAAATGAGGTAGCTTTGAGACCTATATCTTCATCTAGGATTTGGTTTCCTATCACCCACTGCTGAGAACACTCCGGTATTTAAACACCATGGCAAGTACATTATAAGGACTTCTAACAAAATAAATGCAAAAATAAGTTTAAGCTGTAGTTACTTACTTAAGGAATACAGATTCGACAGTAGACATGAAGAGACTTTGAATGAGTTCTGCACTAGATTGCACCCAAATTATGTCATAGAAAGTCACAGAACAATTTAATAGCCATCCTTCAAGTGGGAAACAGAATTATTTCTTTTATTCGTAATTCTAAAGAGGTTCTGGTTTGTTTCTTTTTTTTTTTTTCTTGCAATTTGCAGTTGCTTCATCACGACTGCAGAGGTTAGACAGCTCAACAGTTCGCACATACTCATGCTGACAAGGCCTAGCAAAGACGCCAGCACTGAATTGCTGTGAGTATTCAAAAGGGGCCATTGTGAAACCTCTTTATGTACACTGCACTCAATGCTCTTTGGCACCTATTCAAGCAAGAGGCAGCATGAAGCAGAGGACCTAAACTCAGAGCCACTGGGTGGCCATTTGATTAAACCAACAGTCTCAAGCTCAGTCCTGGAGACACTGCTCCCCTCCTTTCCCTACCTCCAATGGCAGGTTCTCTCTGCTGGTACCACCTTAGCAGATAAAACAGTTTCCAGATGACTTCTCTTCAGGTGATGGCTTGCCAAGCATAACAAATGTGTTCTCTAAGCTAGAACAGGGGAGCAGAAGGCACAGGGACTTCAGTTCCTTCATGTAAATTTGAAATAGTTTTACCAGGATCTGGGGAAAGAAAGGAAAACAACCTAGTAAAGCTGATGGGATTTATGTTTCTTGTCTTTTAATGAGAGATATGGCTCCATTTAGAACACCAGGCAGATGAATAAAACTAGGACAAAACTTCTCATATGCAGAAAATCATCCAAAATTATCCACTGTAGAGATTCTCAATTCCAAAATCATGCCCAGCATAAGAAAAGGACACCGAACTGGATGCAAGTTTACATCAAATCTCGTACCACAGTTCATGTTGCAATTCCCACCACCTCTCTTTTAAATATGTCAATGAATGACAGTTATCCTGCCTGAGTTCTGCAGAAAAATTTTGCTGCTGTTTCACAAGTTTTTTGCAAAAAAAACCCAAAACACTTAACATGATGAGCGCTTTCATCAATATGGCATCATTTCATGCTAATATTTCTCAGTAACATATCATTTTTTTTTTCCATTCAGTTACTCAGGGGAGTTGGAAAGTGTATTTGGACAGCTCCAAAACCCCACCAAGGCACTGAAAATGTTTTGATAGCTGTTACCCATCATAGGCAAGACAAGACATGCCAGGATCCGCAAGGAAAGAATTGCTGTTCCTAATTTTCCCAACAAAGTCTTTTTTTAAGATCTTCAACCAGGAGAGGCTTGGGGCCACCACAACTTTATTAACTGGGCATATTCAAAGACTAAGGAACCGCAAATACTACCGATGGGAAATGCAGATTGCTCAGGATTCTGCTCATGACATCAGCCTTACTCCATAGATTCCAGGAGACTGTAGGTGTACAAAATTGTCATTTAGCAGAAAAAGAAACAGTCACTGAAAAATAAGCCCAGATTAATTATTTATCTAAAACTGGCAAGCTTAGCAGCTGGTCATACAAAGCTGACTGTGGAGTACATACACTATATAAATCTTTTCAAATATGTGTATGCAGATTAGAACTTGGTGTTTTGTCAGTAAAATCGATGACAATCCCAAATGGGTTCAGTGGAAGCAGAAACTGATAGCAGAGATGTGTATCTTTTAGCCTATATACATCTGAACTACAATAAGTCACTGCCTATGATTCAGATCGTTGAAGTTCAGATGCTAAGCAATCCAGCAGGCCAGGAACAGGCAAGGCATGTGAGGCAATATTTTCCAACAGGTCTGACAGCTGCAACAAGGGCAGAAATTGAAGAGTGGTATGTTAATAAAAATTAACGTGTGATTTCCCAGGGTGTTTATTCCCAGTTGATCCTTCAGTAATTGTCTAAAAACTAATACTCCACAAACAGAAGTAGCAAAACTTTGTTGGCACTGTAATATATGGGAGTTATGTATTTTGGGGAAAAAAAAAACAACCCACATGTTTACAAAGTTATACAAGCTACACAAGTGAACTTCCATTTCTATAGGAGCAGTTTAAACTATTTCACCTGATTCAGGTATCAATGACACAAATCCACTGCTGGTGTTTCTTGTCCACTGTGCTGAGAATAGCATACTAATCTTAAAGAGGCAAGAGCTTTACCAGTATATTGGTAATAAATTCTAAGCTGTAGAGGCTCTTATGTAAGGATGACTGAACGAACATATGCTGTTTCTTTTCACTTACTGCAGAGTGCTTTTAGAGAAGCAACAAGATGGTATAAGCTAGAACTCAGGCTACGCATCGTTCATCAGTGCAATTCTAAACTGCCACCAGCATTCAGTACCAAGTAAAATTTATTCCGGATTTCAGTTAATTTTATAAAAATGTTGCAGGAGAAAGATTTCCTTCATTATTATACCAGGCATGAAAACTTAGGTTTCAACAGACTGAGTTTGTTTGAAAGTGATTGAAAGATTGCAGAAGAATTTTCAGGGTTCTGGCATCACGTTTCCTGAGTTATAGCTTCTTCACAGAAAGAACTGATGGATGCTCATACAAAAATGCTTCATTATAATATTCTTGAAATTTTTCAGATCCAAGTCAGACTGAGACCCAGGCTTGCAATACCTTGCCTAAAATATATCAGTAACCATGTTACTACAGTGACTGAACTATTTGCACATGGGACTGTTTCTAAGTAGGCAGCAGAGGAATTGGGTACCTGCACAAGCAGTTGCACAACAGCAATACAAGTGTATTATTAAAATAGTAAAGAGGTCTATGCATATTAAAAGCAGCCTGAACAGAGAGCTATGAATAGGTTGCACATGGAACAAATGAGATGTTCTGTGATGACAGCAGACTGCAGAATTCTTGCATTCTGCTACCCACAGAACACGTCAAAGCCTCGGATTTCAAAACAGTTTATGCCAACAATACCAAGCGGATGCAGTCATCCAGTGTCTCTTCACAATGGGTTAAATCCTCGTGCCTTCAAATTGTACTTCAGGTATATTTTAAACATTTGTTGAAACCACCATGATGAGTTGCCGTAAGACATGAACTGAGATTTTCAGAACAGTTAACAAGAACATATTCTACATGCCTGAAGTACTCAAAGCCCAGTTTGAGTACACTCTTAAGATCACGAATTTAAGTACATTTAGGACTACAGGTGCCAAGCCATTTCATCTTGCACAGAAGTTCAATAGTGCATACGGGATGGTGCAGCTCCTGCTGCCATGGCTGTTAACCAGCAAAGCACCTGGAAACCAGGTCTGCGAGCAGTGGATTCGGCAGTCACCTTGTGCAGCTTTCCCTGCACTTCTGCCTTATAAACCACTCGTCACCACCAAAACCAAAGGCTCAGTCAGAACAGTTTCACTGCTACAGGCTGGCGCAAAGAGCATACCACAGTTCCACATTTATTCTGATCAAATGTCAGGGGATTTGTAAAATCAACTATGTACTTCATCAGCGAAGGATTCCAAAAAGGATTTCTAAAGACAGATGGAAGAGTTCCAAAAAAGATGTGAATGATAATCCAGAAATAGCTGGTCCACAGCAAAGAAATCATGAGGGTCAAAAAGGTAAATGCTGTCAAGTTGCAGTGAGCAAGGAGAAGCTTATGGAGTACATAAAAAAGAGACGTGGTTTAAATACTTCAGAAGTCACTTTCAACCTTAATGATTCCATAAAGAGAAATCTGCATGCTTAAGTGGCTATGTTCAGCTTTGGGCCAAACACACAAAGGCCTACAGAAGCAGGAAACCCCAACCACCAACACTGAACAAAATAAAAACAACAACAACAACAAACACAGCTATGAAGTGAACTGAAATGAACATGCACAGGAGTTTGTTTTGATCAAGTGTGTACTATTAAAAGATTAAAATGCTTAATTAATAGATTTATGCTATAGATCTAAAATTAAAGAATACATGTTTCCCCCAGAAGTTTCAGTAAAACGTGCAACAGCTTACCTAGCATCACTGTGTCCTAAACCAAATTACCATAACAGAACCTCACTAATTAATATTTGTTTATTTTTTCCTTTAGATGTCATCTCTTTCTTCTACTTTACCTGAAGTGCACTACCACTACTTAGGAAAAAAGAACATTAAAACTCTCTGCAAGAACAGGGTAATAGGGAAGAGAACACGAAGTTTCACAGATCTGACGTTCTTTTCACATTTTGGTTAATTTAAAACAAGAATGCTAATAATGAAAAATCTAAATTACTTAAAAACAAGCAAACAAACAAAAAACTAAGAGAATAGCAAAACAACCTCCCCCTTTCCTCTCAGCATTTCTGTCATCAGAAATTTGGCAGTAGTACACATCCAAAGCTTTTATCAAATGAAGCCACTCATTTTTACATTGTTCCATCTGTTTTACTGTAAAATACTAGACATTACGTATTTACTGTGTATGTATTTCTTTTAAAATGTGTAAGTCTTATGTAAATGGTTATAAATATGATTTTTTAAAAATAAAATCTATGGTACATGGGGTCTCAGTGCAAACATTTGAAAATACAGTGTCAATAATACTGTTTGTATCTTTCCATTCCACCATTTTTACAGTTTTTGGATTGTAAAAGTCAAACAGATATGTTTAGCAGAGTTAGAAGCTTCAACATGTTCCTACTGAAAAAATCTGTCAATATTTAAAGCTGAACACCTGCCTCTGATGATGTATAATAGTACGACATAACCTGGAACTGGAGCCAAAATGGGCCTCTAAACACAAAATGGAAATGTCAGATACTTATAGAGAAGCACCACGATGGCTCAACTCCTAAAGACACACACATAAACCCAGAAGAACTGTTTACAGAAAAAAGAAAAAAAAAAAGAAAAAAGAAAAAAAAAAAAGCAATTTAATAAACACAATTTATATGAAAACCAAAAACTTTCTTCTATGTTACCTGCGGACCAAGAAGAATCTTGCTTTACCAAGAGCCACCTTTTCGTTCCAGGATCTTCAGACACCAGCCAGCATTGGAAAATTAAATCTAGTGACTGTATAGAATGAGATTCTCAAGTTTCCAAACATATTCCATGAAGAAAATGAAAGAAGCTAAACCCCACAATTTCTTCATCACAACAGGGCATTAGACAGGCTGCTGTCTAACGCTACGCTTTTAGCCAAGATGGCCTTGCTGAGACTTCACAGAAGTCTGTTTTATCAGAGGAAATAACTGAAAGACAGAGTGATGAATATATAGTGTATAAAAGTTTAGAAGAGCAACTATTACCTGCTGTGGCTTTATTTGGTGGTGTTATTGTTGTTTATTCTTTGTTTAAATGGGAAGTTTCAAAGTAAGACCTACTTAATAGTCATTTACCTATTTGCTATTTTTCTGCTGCTTGATCTTAGCTCAAGACCTGTCTTTTAGTTATTTCTTTTTGCAGTTTGATCTGCAATGTTTGCACGTACATAAACATTTGTTTTGTCTATTTTCATTTGGCAAACTTCAGTCAATCAGATGGTGAAAGATTTTTCTCCCCCAATGTCAATAAAAAAGAATTCAGTGCTATTTGTGTTTATAAGTCTATTAAGCTTGCTACATAGTCGCATTAAAATAGTTCGGATGCCACATACCTCTCGTAGCTAACAAAGCCTAAGCACGTTTTGCAACCGATATGAGTTATGGTAAATTTACTGGTCATAATCTGCCACGAGAGGGCGCACGGAACTTAATGATGTGACTGATAGGATGGCTTTGGATAGAACACAGCTGTACAGGGACACAGCTCCTCTACATACAGTTCCCTGGACTTAAACAGTGTTGCTGATGTCCCTTTTCTCCATCAGCCCTCCTTCGAGCTACTTTGGTCCGAATGTCACAAAGTAAAGCAATGCAGAAACTATTGGAAGTGGTTGTAGTATCAGCTGAATACAATTCGCTATTTAAAGCCCAGTTCCAATTTTCCAGTATTTCTTTTCCAGCCTACACTGTGAAAACCCGCACACCAATTTCAGGGTGGGGGCACAGAGGAAAATGGGATACGTTAGGGAAGAGAATAAGCAAGTTCTTGTAACTGAAGCTCTAGGCATACTGCCCTAGATGTAACCCCAACTTACATCCACAGTGAGGAAAAAAAAATCAGACCAGAATATTTAAAAACACTTAAAAAAACCAACCAAACAAACAAAAATTACTATTATGAAGTCCAGTTGTGGTCTAAGGCTAGCATATAAAAACTCCTGGTACATTCCTGTCTCCCCTGTGTGAGCCAAGGCTTACTCCCAACAGTTAGGAGTTATGGCCGTGCTAAATGTCATCTACACGGCTCCAAACCACAACTAACAAATAAAGATTGCACCAACCCCTGGCCATTCAGATCTACCAAAGCATTTCTTTTTTATAAAAACAAAATTAAGAAGAAACAGTAATCTCCTATCACTTGTTAAATGCAATTGCTCTTCCTTGATTGTACAACCCTGTTGCTGGGCAGCAATAGACCCACATACAGGAATACCCACCTCTTTCCCTTTCCCCAGCTAGGCACTAGCCCAAACCTGTAAGCAAAACATTCTGCAATCACAGTTGCTCAGAAAAAAAGGCTCCTCTGGGAAACAAAAGCAATGTTTTTCCATAGTGCATTGCTGCTGCTCTATATCTAGGTTTTCTAAATGCTGACAAAAAAATCATTTGGTATTTCTGGAAACCTCTGCATGAGCAGGGCAGTAGTGAGTGCACCTGACCCCTCTGCCTCTCTCCTTCTCAGTCTTGATCTTGAATGATTTCCAGAAAAAAGAGGTATTAAAATATGCTCACAGCTTCTGAATTTGGCGACTGCTTACTGTTTAGTCCTCTGAAAAGCAATGCTGAATAACTTTCCTAATTTTATACTTTTCATTTGTTTTTAAATGCATTTAATATATTTTTAGAAGGATTTTTACATTTCTTGTTGAGTTAAAAACTGCAGATTGAGAAGTAATGCATTTAGAGCATGTATCTTCCATATCCTGGTGTGCTGAGTATGCTGAATGCATTTTGAAACAAGCCACATCATAACAAAAGGGCTGCCTAGTACCTGTATTTGCTAAATTTCTTAGCTATATATACATCCAATTGTGCCTGAAAACATGTCCTGGTTGTCCTTCTCCTAAGCAGCAATAAAAGCCACCAAACAAAATTATAAAAAAAAAAAAAATCCAAAGCATAAATGCCTGCATTTATTTAAAGTAAATGTTTTCAATTCAACACTACCATGGATAAATCAAGATTTAACAGGCTTGAAAGTCAGAAATAATCTATTATTCTACAAAACAAAACAAAAAAAAAAAAAGACACTTCAAAAAGTTACTGAAAGCATGTAAAAGAATCTAATTTATAACAGAAAGTCTTAGGGAAAAAAAAAATCAGTGGAAACCAGAAAAGTAATTTAAAAAAATTAAAGCTCATAAAAATTTAAAAGGCATAAGGCTTACAATTTTTAAGTGAAGACAAGTTATGCCTGCAATGACTTTCACATTAGGATTCCTACTTCGTGCTGTCTTCAGTTTGAATCTCACCTGCAAGATGTTTTAGTCAAACTCAAGTTACTGGTACCATTATGCAATAACGGACAGCGCAGAATCCACATCACTGGAGGCTGTCACGATGCAATTCAGCAGGGTGCTAGATTATCTCTTCTAGGTACCCTTTTTTCCTATGAAAGGCTAGATGTGATGGTCTTTTGAAGTCCCTTTCAACCCGAGCTTTTCTGTGATTCCACAATTCTATCACAGTAATACAGTGACTCCCTTGAAGGCTAGAGAGATGTATGAATTCTATTTAAAATTCTTAGCAATCTTATATTGCCTTCAATGACAACACACAGAGACTTCAGTATTCTTCACTGGATGTGACAATATGGTAGAAGAACACAGTATAGTAGAAAAGTTAAAAAAAAAAAAAAAAAGTAATCCCAATCATTATTCGTTCTTAGAATATGTATTTCCTAATACAAAGTCTTTGCATGTTTCAGTAACAGACGCTTTCACTGGCCCATTATTCCATTTACTTTTTCTTCAGCACTTCTTCTATGTCTTTAAACACACTAGCATCTTCAATGGTTGGCGTTATCTGGAAAGGAAGAATATGCAAAAGCATTTAATGATAGATTGATGTCCTTCAACAGTGAATCAATTTTATTTCTGAATTTCAGAATCTCCTAAATCTAATATTCAAAAACAGTAAAGGGAAAATTATCTGGAAAGCTCTGAAACATGAAAATAACAATGAAAATTATAAGAATCTTAGAACAGAGAATACAATATAGTATCTGCAGTCATGGACCAGCTCTAGTATGGTCTAGAGAAACAAAACCATGATGATGTGTCTTTAGATGTGTACATGTGCCTAATTCACTCAGGCATACAGCCCCCACTTACCTTATATGGCTTTCCACTGACCAGTGCAGAAAGAGCTGAACGTGGTATCTTGCCAGAACGTGTTTTCGGTAGCTGTTTCACAAATACCCCCTTCTGGAAAGCTGCCACAGGACCAATGTTATTTCGAACTTGCTCAACAATATCTTCCAAAATCTTCTTCTCTTCTGCCTTTACATCTAGTGAAGAAGTTCATGTCCTTTAATAATTCTAGGACTCTTGCAGGTTTTAGTAACACCAGTAGAAATAATTTCTCACCGTCTCTCAGCACACACAGCGCAAAGGGAACGTGCCCTTTTAAGGCATCCTCCTGGCCTACAACAGCACAGTCTGCTACAGCAGGATGGCGGAGAACACACTGAGGGACAGAAAACAAAACTAAACTAGATTAATTTCAACATTTCAATTATGAAATTCCATAAGGAGGGACACAAAAATAGACTTACTGATTAAATACTGGCATTGGTAATTATTTAGTCAGTGCACTTCAGGACTCTAATTACACACGTTGAAAATGCATGTGTGAATACTTTCATAGGTGCCGATGTGTCTTTTTCAAGTAAATTTAAGAAATAAAAAATATTGGCAGCATAAGACACAAATGCAGAATCATAGAATCATGAAATAATCTAGGCTTGAACAAAGCAAAGGTGTATCCTTACAGTTTTAGAAAAGCAAGACTATCACATCCAGGTTTTTGTTAGTGTGCTTTTTCCTGGAAAAAAATGTTAGTCTAACATCATGGATACTGTGGAGTTAAGGACTAAAACCTCAGGAACTCTCCTATTACAGGGCATATTCACTTTTGGCTCATCTTCGCTGATGCCTTGTATCTTTTCAGTTCTTTGCTTCATGAAGACAATTTCAACTAAAGCCAAATACAAGCCCAAGTCAGCTTGCTGCTAACTCAGTTCTCAGGTGACCAGCTTGGAAACATGAGGTCTCAACCTTCATAGACAAAAAAAGGAATTAAACCACAGCCTCCTGTTTTCTACCACACACATATGCAGTTTGATAGGTGATGGGCAGCAGCAGCACTATCTTGAACTATTTTCAGAAAAAAGATTCAGAGCTGCTCTTTTGTTTTCAGTCAGCCAGCTGAGATTCTTACTTCCTGAAAGAAAATCACCAAGTTGTCTCAATGGATACTGAGATATGTGTCACTAAGTCAGGGGCTAAGCTGGACTTAAGACACCAGTAACCGAAAATCCTCTTCCAAAGCACCTAGCTTCTTCATGCAACTCCAGATCCCAGTGATATTTCACTGCATGATATAAACCTATTAGCCTGGGCCACCTCTAATCCACGAAGCATTCAATTTTGTGCTTTAAATACCCATTCTTTTTCTACTCTGCCTTCTTGACCCTGCCAGTAGCAACCTGACAGCCACAGAACTAAGAAAGAAAGAAAAAGATGAAACTACTTTTCATCTACTTTTCAGTGAATTGTAGGAAAGTAGACTGGTAAGATCTATATTTATTTCCTTCACTGGTCTATCCAAAAATCTCATCAATATGCCATTGCAACTGGGACAGGTAATTTTGTATGACTGGAATTGTAAATACTAACTTAAAAATTACCAGTTTCTTAAGATAGGCTGAAAAGATGAATGGAGAACAAAATTGGCACCAGTAAACAATTTTTAGGTGGTAAGTAAGATAAAATGAAGGAGCATTTTTTGGAATACGATCACTGGGCGCAAGGGACTTCTAATGCAGCAGCAGTCAGAAATCCCACTGTCAGAAAGGGCAACTTCACATCTGTTGTATTGGACAGACAAGACTTAATTTGGGTTAAAAAGAGTCAAGAGAGTCAAGCCAAACTTGGAATCACAGATTTACAGGCAAAAGAAATGGACAGATCAACACAAGCTAAGCTTACCATACTGGCTAACACTCAGTGACTGGCAAGGTTAACAGTAGAGTTACCTTATCTCAGTAAAGATGAAGCTCCACTGATACTAACAGGGATAAGAAACTAACTGTTTGACTCATAGTGAAGTTGAAATTCTTAGCCAAAGCACTAAGAATATACTTATTAAGCTTGTAATGCAGCCACAATATAAACACAGATAATATACTTGCTCAACAAGGTAACTGACACTTAATTAGATGACTGTTCATTAAACCTCCAATTCTGTTTTAACTGATCCTACTG